CAATACTGGAGACATATATCCAGCTTTTCCATCTTTCAATAAGATCACTTCCTCTTCTTCTGATTTGCTTGCTTCCTCCTCCAGCATTTGGCATCAAAGGCTGGCTCATCCAAGCAATGAAACACTCAATTATCTTATGTCTTCTTCAGCTTTATAATGTAATAAAAAAGACTTGCAGAAACTTTGTAATGCTTGTCAGCTTTCCAAACAAATAAAACTTCCCTTCAAAACATCTGATTCTACTGTCACTGCACCATTTGATATTATTCATTCTGATATATGGACTTCACTGGTTCAAAGCATCAGTGGTATAAGTATTATTTCCTCTTTTTGGATCAATTTTCTCACTTTCTTTGCATCTACCCCTTACGATCTAAAGATCAAGTGTTCTCCAAATTCTTAAACTTCTCAGCCTATGTCAAAACCCAGTTCTTAAAAACAATTAAAGCCTTTCAATGTGACAATGGAATATAGTACAATAATGCTCATTTCCTAACCACTTCTCTCCAAATGGCATTACCTTTCAGTTATCTTGTCCATACACCTCTCAACAAAATGTCCGATCAGAGAGGATGATTAGAACCATTAACAATGATGTTCGCAATCTTCTGTTCCAAGCTCAACTCCCAAACGCAATCTACACTCAGCTGTTTATATCCTCAACATCCTACCTTGCAAAACCACAAAAAAATAAATCACCCTTTACCATCCTTTTCAACAAACCAACAAACTATAATCACTTACGAGTCTTTAGTTCCCTTTGCTACCCAAACCAAAATAACCCAATTCTCATAAACTCTCTCATCGCTCCACTCCAAGCATCTTCCTTGGTTATCCTACTAATCATAAAGGGTACCGATGCTTGGATCTCAAGACTAGAAAAATTATCATTTCCTGACATGTTCAGTTCGATGAAACATGCTTTCCATACAAACAAAACCAGAAACAGCCTGAAACCTCTTATGCCTTTCTCAACACGTCTTCTGAGCCCTCTCCTCTATTTCACCAAATACTCCAAACACCTATATCTCCTATACATGCTTCTTCTCCTGCTATACCTTTCATGCCAACTCAACCTGTTCACACAGAAACTGAGGCTCCAAGGCACAAAATGACCACTCGTTCAAGATACGGTATACACAAACCCAAACAAATTCTGTCTCTTCATACTCAACACAAATCACCAATTCCTATCAGCTACAAACAAGCCTTAAAAGATCCATACTGGAACCCTACAATGGGTGATGAGTACAGTGCAATAGTTAAAAGCAAGACTTTTGATTTGGTTCCTAGACCCAAAGGAGTAAACAATATACGCTCCATGTGGCTACATATTAGGGACAGATCAACTCATTCCTTGGCATTTCGGTCATATTCAACGACAAATGCCTCTTTTTGAACCAGACTAAATATGCTGAAGAAATCATTGAACGTGCTAAAATGGTTGACTGCAAACCGTGTGCCACACCAGTAGATTTGAAGTCCAAACTATCAGACAAAGAAGGCAAATCAGTAGTCAATCCTACTGAATATAGAAGCTTGGCAGGTGCTCTGCAGTATCTCACCTTTACAAGACCTGATATAGCGTACGCAGTCCAGCAAATTTTCTTATTCATGCATGACCACAGAGAGACTCATCTACAACTCTAAAACGCATAATATGTTACGTACAAGGCACAAAAGCCAGGTTTACAGCTTCTTAAGTCTCAGGCGATGAAGCTCACTATCTACTCAGATGCAGACTGGGCAGGTTGTCCGTCGACAAGAAGATCTACCTCAGTGTTCTGTGTTTACATGGGAGACAACTTAGTTTCGTGGTCTTCGAAGAGACAAGCCACAATTTCAAGGTCCAACGCTGAAGCAGAGTATAAGGGAGTAGCAAATGCAGTAGCTGAAGCGTGTTGGTTACGAAACCTGTTACTTGAAATGCATTGTCCGCTGCAGCAAGCAACAATTGTCTTTTGTGACAACATCAGTGCGGTGTATATGTCATTAAACCCTGTCCAACATTAAAGAACAAAACACACTGAAATCAATATACATTTTGTTCGAGAAAAATTTCAGATGGGTCAGGTCAGAGTGCTTCACATACCATCCTCATTACAGTACGCCGACATCTTCACCAAGGGCTTGCCAATGACTCTATTCACCAACTTCCGGTCCAGCTTAGGCGTGTGTGATCCCCACACTACAACTGCGGGAGGGTGATAGATTATTCAAAAGAATATTCCTATTGTCTAGATTAGATTCTGTAAAGATCTTGGGAAATCCCACAATTGTTGTAACCAACTCTGTTATATATTCAAAGTGAATAGAACGTGAAACCTTCAAGGGAAAATATCTGTCTTACAGCAACTCCGACGAGGAGAGAAGATGAACAAGCGCGACGGTGAATGGAGACGACGGAGCTCCGGTGGTCGCAACACGATGGCAGCAAAGGCAGAGCTCGAGCTTCTAAAGTGAAGAACGAAGCAGCAGAGGAAAGAAGAAGATACGGCGGTGATGATTCCGGCGAGCAGCTGCGATGGTTACGGTGTGGGTAGAGCTCGACGACGACGGCAAGAAGAAGACTCGAGACCCGAGCTATTGGTGAAGAAGATAACAAAACGCCAAACGCATTTTGTTCAGAACGCGATTTTGCTCAAAGCCACAAACGCACTTGTCCCTAAACGTAGCGTTTTTATGAACAGCAATTAACCTTTATTTTAATGACATATATATATATATATATATATATATATATATATCTTTCTTAAAAAAACCCTAATCTTATCTCTTATTTTTCAGATCTACTTTTCTCTCTTAAGAACTTTGTAAAAGTTTGGATCTTTAAGTTTTTAAACTTATATTATCTTTATTACCTCTTTTCTAATTATGTTTAACCTTAAACTAAACCATAGTTTTGAGGTTTTCATGATTATTAGTGAATAATCTCCTTATAATCTCATGGATTAGGTAGATTAGGGTGAAAGATGAATGTTTTAAGATGTTTAGGACTAGATTAAGGATGTTTCTTACCAATTAGATGTACTTAATGCTATAGTAGACTTGATCTCTCTATTTCTAGATTTTGGATTATTTCATCCCCGAGAAGTGTTCAATGAAATGTCTGAATGACTCGTATTGTGTTTTGCTACTTGATTGACGAGAGTCGCTGCATCAAGGGCGCTTTGACTATTAGGATTCGTTTGAATGCATGCTTGAGTGTAGTTGACCAACGAGAGTTGATGTATTGATGCATGACTAGCATAGAAGCTTCTGTCACTAGAGTGATTAGTTTATTATTGTGTTCCTAGGTTAAAAAAGCTTATTAATTGATTGTATTGAACATCTTAAGTCTGACGTCTATCACTTGAAATCGATTGCCTTATCCAATAAATTTAGCCTTTAATCTTGATTATAATTTGTTCTTCTTGAGTTTGTTGTCTGAAACTTAATTCCTCATTCTAAACCTAACTTTCTTTTCTTAGATTAAATGACTTTTTGTATTCTCCATGCTTTAGATAATCTTAGGTTGGATTGACATCCTTACTACTACATCGACACTGTTGTGCTTGCAGCAGCGTGGTAGAGAATTGAACTTTATCCACATCAAACGTCCAATATATCAATCAAAGGAAAATACAATCACATAAAGAATGACTTACATAGTCTCTACCCATCTATAATAGGTATGTATCTTTTTATATAAATTAAGATGTCTTGATATTTACTTTAATTTGAATTAGCTAACCTAATCTTTACTATTTTCAGGCTATTCCTTTCATATGGTCTACATCACCGCTACTTCTCTTCTTTTCTTTAAAATACATTATTTTGTTCTTACATTATTAATGATCATTTAAACGTAAAAAATTGCAAACACTTAATAATCACCATAGTTTTCATATTTTTAAAAAATATAGTGTTCTCAATTCAAAAATAGCATTGAAAATTATGATCCTAATCTAAACTATTTATTCATGTATCCACGCGTAGCGTGGAGAAAGATCTTAATATTCATAATAATTGGATCTTTGCTCGGTTGTTCGCTTTGCTGCGTTGTTTTAATTTTTAAGCAATAAAAGCATCATAGCTTATTTGTACGAAACAACATATTCGCATGGAGATAAGGCTTAATATTGTCAAGTGTACGAAATAATAAACATCCCAATGTTATTGATGAGACTTGGAAGGAAAGATCTTGTCATAAAGGTGGACCTAACTTGGTTCCGTGTAGAACAAGGTGACTTTTCTTTTTTTTGGGTTGTGGCAAATTATTATGTTCACTTAATGTAGCTAGAGAAAGAAAGAAAGTTACAGGCTCCTAGATGATCTTCCCCAGAGTTCTAGAATTGTAGAATTTGAGATTCCGAATGATATATTGTTATACGTGTCAATAATGCCCCCTTACATTCCGAATGCCCCCCTTACGTTCCGAATAGGGTTCTTCCTTTTTTTACTTTCTTTCTACCAAACTCTTGTTTTCAACTTCAATTCAAGTCGACTATTCATGTGGAACGAGAAATCACAACCAAATCGTACACCAGAATGTTTAGTCCGAGAGCTGCGCACCACCATTTTTGTTTGGTTATTTCTTACTCTTTCCGTTTCAGTTGATATATCACCGTAAAAAGAAAATTTTGTTTAAAATAAATGTCATTTTATAGTTTCGATGCAGAATTTATTAATTTTAAATATTTTTCTATTTTTTATTGGTTAAAATATGGTTAGGTATATAGATAATTGTGTTTTTATTTAAAAATATATAAAAATAAATATTTTTTTAATTTGTGTGCAAAATTTAAAACGACAACTAAAATAAAAGAGAATGAGTATATTTTTACATGCAAATTAAATTTGATAAAATATAAAATGAATAAACGTAGTTCGTTAGATTAATAATTAGTATTGAGTGGTAACTAAGTAAAGCATTTGTTGGCAAAAAATTCATAATCAAAAGATTAAAAACTATATAGAAAACAAAATATCAATTGCTAAACAAATTACCAAACACATAAAAAGAATCATAAGTACAAATTTAAGTAACAAATTTGATGCATATTTAAAGGGTTTTTTTTCGTTCAGGTTCGGTGCTAGAAAACTATAACTGAAAACTAACCGGGATGTTTCGGTTCGATTCAGTTTAGTTTCAGACTAAACGGCCTTATTAACCGGACCGATGTTTAATTCCATACAAATTCGGTTTGTGTACCAAAACCAACCTTAAACCATAATCTTAAACTGACCAAAAGTTAATGAAACAAAACAAGAATCTCAACCTGAGCAACAACCAGAGGATTTAACAGCAGTAACATCATCCTTATTTCCGATATCAATAGTCTGTCCTTTAGGCAAATACGTTGGATCTCCAGTGCCATCAAGAGCTTTACGGCTCATAACACGATAAATCTGAGTCAAAGCATGAGTGAAAGCTTGCTCAACATTTGTAGCATCAAGAGCAGAAGTTTCCATGAAGAACATGTTCTCTCTTTCAGAAAACGATCTAGCTTCTTCCATGGGAACAGCACGAAGGTGACGAAGATCAGCTTTGTTTCCAACAATCATGATCACAATGTTGGCATCGGTATGGTCACGAAGCTCCTTGAGCCATCGTTCAACGTTCTCAAACGTTATGTGTCTAGTTATGTCGTATACTAGAAGAGCTCCTACTGCTCCTCTATAGTATGCACTCGTGATTGCTCTGTATCTGGATAGCAGCGAAACATAATCTCTCAATAACAGATAAGACCGGTACTGGGCACACGCACATCCAAATGAAGCATTAGCCTTTACTCCCAAATTTTAAATAACTATTATATATAGGTTGCATGGTCTCTTAATTATGGATCTTTTTTGTAAGATTAACCTAAGAATGTTTATGCCTCGTAAATCTAAAACCGACTCTGATAACATAGAACAAAGAGAAATAAAAAACCTTTTACCTCTCTTGGCCGGCGGTATCCCAAAGCTGAGCTTTGATGATTTTCTCGTCGACATGAACACTTTTCGTGGCGAATTCTACACCGATGGTTGACTTTGACTCGATACTGAATTCATTTCTAGTGAACCGAGACAACAGGTTGGTTTTTCCGACGCCGGAATCTCCTATCAAGACTAGTTTAAAGAGATAATCGTAGTCGTCGTCGGCTCTGTACCCTCCCATTATTGATTATATTTGTGAAACCCACACAGAAAGGAGATAAATAAGAAAACTGAAATCTTTGATTGATGTAATAAAAAACTTAGAGAGATATTGTAATGATCATATGATATGATGATTCGTGTGTTGCTGTGTTTTGTAATGAAATGATAACAAGGGTGTAGTGGGTAACGACGAAAACCTTATTGAAATGATTTGTTATTACTAAAATGCAATGACTAAGCGTATATGTTTTGAAAGTCGTTGGAAAGATTAGAGAACAAACATGTTTGAGTTTGACGAGGTCTCGAGGTTTGTGGCCGCCATGAATTGGTAAACGCAGAACAAATACACTTGCAGGAAAGAAAATATATTTTTTGGTTGTATCGAAATTTTTAAATTTAACTGATAGCTTTGGTCAAATCAAATCATTAGGAAACTTTCCGTAAATTAAATGATAGTAATGTGTAAGAAGATATTAGGGAAAATATTATAAATGGTATTAATAAATTGTCGTTTTAATTCTATGACATTTTCAGGTAGTGTTTTAGGAATTATGGAGTAGTTGTGATTTTATTGAGAACCAAATGTTTTTAGACTTTTAGTTGAAGGGGTTGGGACTGATATAGATCTTGCCAACTCTTTAGGATACCTAATGAGTTTCTTTTCCCCAGAAAATTTGATAACCAAGTATTTATTTATGATTCGAGAAAACAAAACAAATGTATTAATGTAAATCAGTAAATGGTACCAATAAATATAATTACACAATAAATATCTAAATATGATAAAAAAAAAGTATTAACATATTTTCTCATGTTTATGGGATAATTTACTTGACTGCTCCTTGCATTCATATTTTGTCTAGCTATTATTCAACAAAAACTTGATTATAAAACATAAACCACTCAAATTAAAAGGAACTATTTTGCCAAACTAAAAAACTATTGATTATTTAACTCCAACTTTTTTTGTTATATGACCTGTAGTTACCACAGTACTTTTTAGTTAAGAATCTTTGAACATGGAATATAAATAAATAAATACAGGGGCACAGCTAGGGCTGAGACTTTAACCGGGATCCGGATCCAATCCGAGATCTGATCTGGATCCGCTCCAAAATTAGGATATCTAGAGGTTTCCGAACCCGAATCCGGATAGTAAAATCTTGGATCCGTGCAAACCGAATCCGGATCCGAATATCATAATTTTTAGGTCTTAATCTCCGGATTCAGGTCCGTATTTTTAAAAAAATATATCAAATTTTTTATTTTATTATTAATTATATCTGATATATTAATATTTATATATAAAATAAGTTTATAATATTCTACTTTAATATTAATAGTATTATATGTCATATATATATATTCATAACTTACGCATACATATTTAATTTATGTACTATATTAAAAGATTTTGATTTTCTCAATTATTTTTACGGATATGAATCTGAATACCCGCAAATATCACAATATCTAGACGGATCTGAAGTCCGGATATCCGGAAAACACGAATTCAGATCCGGATATTACGACGAATCCAGATCTACAGATATTACGACGAATCCAGATCTGAATACTTCAAATTTCCCAAATATCCGGATCCGTCCCAGCGCTAGGCACAACACATAATTCAACACATCAAAAGAGGGAGGACTGGATTAATTGGTGGAGTCAAAATCTAAAAGAGGAAAGAAACAACACAACATTACAAGATTATTCCCACCATCGTAAAACTCATTGATATATATCTATCAATTGACTCTTTTTTTTCTTCCCATTTCATTTAAAGGAGAGGAATAATAATAGAACAGAACACCTAATCATCGATTTGATCATCATCAATGTCCCAAATGCAGCGCTTCATCGACGGCCAAAGCTAATCCAGCAGCAGAACCAACATAAGTATGTGGAGTTAACTTCAAAAGTTGAGATTTTGCTTCTTCAGGAAATCCAAACCTTTGATAAACTCTCTTATGCTTTCTTCATTCCCAGCTCTTCCTCTTGTCAGCTTCTCATATGGCTCTGGAACACCATATCTCCTCATCACCTTTTAAGATAATACCATGAATTAGCAAGATACATCAAGTAGCTAGATACTTACATAAAGTCAAAGAGTCGAGAGAGATTTACAGTTTGTATCGGTTCAGCTAGGACCTCCCAAGTTTGATCCAAATCTTCTTTTAACCGACCTTCATTAACCTATACACCAAACCATTCTTAGCCCATTATGACAAGTGGAAACCTTTCTTAGAGATACTGTAAAAAAAACATGAAGCTTCCTGATTCCCTGTACGGCACTCTTGTAAGCAAGAAGAGAGTGTCCTAAAGCTCCACCCATGTTTCTCAAGACAGTTGAATCGGTTAAGTCACGCTGCATTCGTGAAATGGGAAGCTTCATACTGAGGAAAGAAAGCTCTGCGTTAGCTTTCCCAAGATTCCCTTCACTGTTCTCAAAGTCAATAGGATTCACTTTGTGAGGCATTTTGGATGATCCGATTTCACCAGCTTTAGTTATCTGCTTAAAGTAACCTAGAGATATGTACCTCCATATATATCTGTCGAAATCAATTAATATATTGTTGAACTGGCTGATTGTATTAAACAGTCTAGCCATATAGTCATGAGGCTCAATCTGCAAAAAACAAGAGAGAACAATCACTCGCTCAATGATAATGCGGAAAAATGTAATGAAGATAAAACTATATAGTATTATACCTGAGTGACATATGAGTTAAAGGTTAATCCGAGAGAAGTAACAAACTCCTTTGCAACATGAGGCCAGTCGATATTAGGATATGCTGAAATATGAGCGTTGTAGTTCCCAATATCACCAGCAAATTTGCTCTTGATCTTAGTTTCTGATAGATATCTTCTCTCTTCACTTAACCTCACAACAAAAATGGCCATCTCCTTCCCTAGAGTTGTAGGTGAAGCTGGCTGCATTATAGTTTATAGAGGACCAAATAAGCTGACTGAATCAAACCATGAGCAAAGAGATGACACTTTTTACTTTGGAGATTGTACCTGTCCATGAGTTCGCGAAAGCATGAGAACATACGCAAACTCCTTAGCCATCAGAGAGATTGATTTGATCAGGTCATCCATGGCTGGAAGTATGACCGAGCTAAGTGCTTCTTGAAGCATCAAACCATGTGAAAGATTGTTGATGTCCTCAGACGTGCAAGCAAAATGGAAAAACTCAAGAACCTAAAATATAGAGAAACTTATTCATATGGAAACTTAGAAAGAAACTAAACCCAAAACAGTAAAAACTTGGAGCAAGCAAGAAAGAGATATCTCTAACCTTAGCAATCTCTGGATGAGAGTCACACTTTTTTGTTTCAAGAAATACTCAACAGCCCCTTCACATCATGATTCGTTACTCTCTCAATCTTCTTAACTTCCAATGCATCATCCGTACTAAACCCATCAATATTCCCTTCCAAATAACTCTCAGCTTCTTCACTAAAGCTTGGTACTTCAGTGACTTCAGGAACTTTTGAAAGCTTAATAAGCCATTTAATCTAAACAAAACATGAAAAAAAAACACAAACATATCTTCACTAAAACAACACAACAACATAAAAACCTTTTCCCTTAATAATACCTCAACAAGTACTCTGAAGTAAATCAAACCAAACTCGCTCAAAGAAGAAGCCAAGTCCTTAACTTTCCCCCAGTAACGTCCATCCAAAGGCGATAACGCCGTTAAGTTCGACATCCCCAAATCTCTCGAACCTCCAACAGCCATTGCTATCACCTAGATTATCAATTAGATTACATTTTTGACATAAACCCATTAGAAAAGAAAAAAGGCTTTACCTTTCTTGAAGTCGTGAGCTTGGGAGGAGCAGCGTAAGAGAGAGAGAATGAAACACTGGGAAGGGGTTGATGATGAGGAGAAGACAAGGAGAGTGATTTTGATGTGTTTATTAAGAGTGTTGTGGTGGTGGGTTTAAGGCTAAAGCAAGGGACTTTGTTGTTGGTTAACGCCATTTAAGAAAGCTTTAGGAGGAGGACGAATGGAGGGAGGGAGAGAGTGAAAAGCTTGGCGCTTTAGGGTTTTAGAGGATTCCGATTAAAGTTCAGTCGCTTTTCTGTTAATTCCATATTTACCCATGTGTTCTCTACTTATTACGATTACAGGTTAAATAAGATTGTGTGTTGTGTGGTGGTCTTTATCGGTCTCAGTTTAAATCACTTCAAAAAAATGGTTGAAAGAATATATATATAGAGTATCAAATTTTTGTCAAAGAAAAAAACATTGACTATCAACTTTAGTGGATAATTTTGTTGGACCAAAGTAAAATATACCCATATAAATTTTGAAAAGAAAACAATGTAAAAATTTTAAACAAACTATTAGGTTGTGTTTTTAGACCTGAGAATTTGAATAAAGAACCGCGGGACCAATTTCGTTTGACCTGTCATCAAATAGGATATATAAACGTGGAACACAACAAATTAACATCAATTCCGTTGTAGTCTAGCTGGATGATACTCAACTTTCACCCAAGAGACCCGGGTTCAAGTTTTGGCAACAGAGTTAACTTTTTGCTAACAAAATTATCCTTTGTTGGTATTTGAGTTCTCTGAACCTCTTTCTCATTTGTAATTTTGGGTTACCAAACCTGAAAAAGAACATTTGGGCTCGAAAATAATACTCAATAATAGTTATATTTTTCGAGGCCCAATTTGGAAAAATTGATTTCTGTTAGAACAAAAATAAATAAAATCTAGTGGGGGTTCCCTCTTGTTCTTGGCGCACACTCTAAATCAAATGGCGCGTAAAAAGCTGGTCTTCTAAAATCTCAGATACATCACTTCCAAATCTGGTTCAAAGTCCCTCCTATTCACAAACTTCATATATACTTCTTCGGTTCCTCCTCAATCCATCTCTCTCTCTCTCTCTTCTTTCTTTCTCTCTCTAGTTCTACATTAATGGCGGCTCAAAGTCCAAAATCTCACGACAACAAAGAGAATGTCTCACCCTCAAATATGACCACCATTCTTGATTCTTCTTCATCCACTGACAAAGACAAAACCCAAATCATAATCAGAAGAAGACTACCTCTTAAAGACATCACCAGTCTCTTTGTCTCATCATCGCCACTGCCCTCTTTGCCCAATCCACCATTTGATGCCAAATGCATGAAACGAAGATCTGGTGTTGGTATCAAGGCTCCTGCAACTTCTTCGTCTACATTCTCTTGTAGAAATTTCAGATGATTTTCTTATTTTGTTTTATAATTGGCATTTATCAATACCATGCCATTAACATTCATGTACCCACTTTCTCAAAAAAAAAAAACATTCATGTACCCACAACACACAAAATATAGTTCCATACTTGTTAAAAAAAAAATAGTTCCATCTTAGTAAACTGGTTTACTATTCTGAAAACTGATTTCTAGAGCCAGATTACTTATGTTCCTAAATTCAATAGTTGGAACTGTATATACAGGTGAATTGTGATATGTTTTGTGTTTTTTTTTTTTAACTAGGAATATCTGAGATTGCGATAGTTAGTGGCCGCAATTTCAACCCAATAGTCAATAGATATTGTTAGTGGCTGCAATTTCAACCCAATTGAAAAAGATTATACTTAAAAAGTAGATAAAGATATTATATTATATGTTTTTTCAAAAAAAAAAAGATATTATATTATATATAAATTTGCTTTAAAACGACTAATTATTATTTTCAATATTTTATGAGTAACATACTTATTATAACCCTTTTAAATTCTTATTGAATAGTAGACTTATATCTTCATCTGATAGATTTATTAATATAATATAGTTAATATATTCATTTTGTAATTTTTGTTTATTTATGTGGTATACATGTTGTAGATTTACTGTCAAACGTGTTATCTGTATATTTTAGTCAAAAAGTTCTCTATTTTAAAGAAAATATACAAGTCAACGGTATATAATGCAATAGTTTTTGTCAGATAGTAAGTCTATTTCATTTGTAACATGTCACTAACACTTTATCAAAAAAAAAAACATGTCACTAACATGGTGTAGTGATTTATGTGTTGCATAATATTTTGGCCAAACAGTTTGCTGAGACCGTTTTTGTTGAAACCTGGATTTGGATAAGAAATGCTTCCGTTAGAAACGTATTACAGTATAATAAGTAGGGGTGGCACAAGTCAAATACTTGTTATTTTTTGTTTACTTGGTACTTGGCTTGCCTTGTTCAGATAATGAAATTCTGGACTTATATTTGGTTTATTAAAAACGAGTACTTATATTTTTAATTACTTGCTAAAAAATGGTATACTTTCAAGTACTTGCCTCATTTTACTTTTTGTTATTTTTGAACTATTTATAATTATTTTTAAGTTTTTTAATAATAATTTATTAATTTTACCTACTTAAACCTTAAATATGAGTTTAAGAAAAAAGAATAATTAATTATAATTCTAATAATTTTTTCCATTTTATATTTTTAAAGTCGATATATGATTAATATAAAATTAAAAAAGAAACTATAAATATTTCTATAATATCACGTTTAATTAATTTATCCTATAAACAAATAATTTGATTATAATTTAGAGATTTTTTCTCCAAAAGTAAAAATGGATAATAAATTAAGTAATAAGTTACGAGTAACAAGCAAACAACGTCAAGTAGTTATTTTTATTTTAGTACTTAGTATTTGTCTTGTACTTGCAAGTAATTGAAATAAACGACTTGATATTCAACTTAAACAATACGAGTATTCGACTTTAAGAGTCAAATACGAATCAAATAGCGAGTATAAACCAAATAGCAAGTAATTCTGCTCACCCCTGATAACAAGTGTGATTCGTTGGAAAATTATCCTTAAAGTAGATCTCTTAACCTCACCTTAGTGGCTTAGTGGAATCGTAAACTACACTATACCACATCCTGAAAGATGTAATAAACATTATAATACCTTTTCTCAGATTTTTTGGTTAACTCTTTTTGAATATTCTTCTTTGTAATGAAATCTCCAGATGAATAAAATGAGTGAATATAAATATTGAGAATCTCCGAATCACCAATCCAAAACTAACACAAACCCATAAGTGCTCTTAGCCTTTGACTTCATTTTCATATTTTACTCCTTTCCTTTTCTTTTCTATGTTATTGGATTTTCATGAATCACTCTCCTCGTCAATTGTCACTACCTCGTATTATTAACTCACACATAGTGCGCATACAGATATCATATGTACTGTCGTTGGATGGATAGAGACGGTCGAGTTAGAGATGGTGCAAGTTTTGGTATTTATAGATTTGTGCTTGATGGATATATATAACTGTTATATATTTTTATTTTTTAAACAATATAACTGTTATTATAATAAGAATTAGCATTGTCGAAGCCGTACCTTAGCGCTCTTTTTGTTGTTCTTATAGCTCTTTTTGATAGACCAATGTAACTATGTAAGATTCATATTTTTTTTTGGGTGAAATAAGATTCATATTTTGTGAGTGTGAAATGGAGCCGTTTCTAGGAGAAGAACCAGGCAAGTCTCTCCAATTTCATTCATGACAACCAGACAAGTTCACTGTCAAAACGAACACAATGAAAAACTTAACTCTACGAAAAAACGAAACTCCGTTATATCTGTTGTTTTGGTTTACACAAAATTTTGAATGGTTCAAGACATCATATTCACGTCCTGAAATGTAAATCTGGCATATACTAATTATAATGAGTGGTTTAAACCTAGAATACACTACCTCAGATGCAATTAGTTTTTTGCTTATACTCTCGAAAAGTCTGTATATCCAATCTATTGTTAAGTCTAGTCAGTAGAGTCTGCATTATTTAATCTAATCTTCATTTTTAAGAGTAATTCTATTCATGTGGGGAATTTCTGGAACTAATTTTTTATAAGTCTAACGGACTAAGTAAAAAATTGAATAAATGTGAATATAATTTTTATTAGCCTAACGGGCTGTGTAAAAATATGTTTATTATGAAATAATATGGGTATTTGATTTTATGGAAAAGTGATAAATCTTACAAGTTTATTCTCAAATAATTATGGAAGACTTCCAATATTATTTAAGAGAAATGTAAAGATTGCGTCCAAATAGTTGTAGAATATTTCTTATATGTGTTTGGATAAATGTAAAGTTGCGTCCAAATAATAATGATACTTCTCAATTAATTATGTGATATTTCTATAATAAATATGGAATACTTTTACTCATGAATATTCTTTTACTTTTTCACAAGGTTATTTCTTGATGATCAAGTAACTCATACTCATATAAATAGAAATCTAGTCTCTTCATTCTAAACACACAGAGAAACACAGAAATACACAGAAAAAACAAACACTAAAGCTTCCACCAAAATCTCTTTCTTAGTCATCTAGTTTTAAAGTAAGTGTCTCGAGAGTATTCATAGTAGTTATAGTTTGTTAGATTTTTTTTTTGAGTATTGCGAAACAGTCTCGTCATGGTTGTATCCTAAAATTCAAAAATCGCATTCAAACTATCACACAATACGGGCAATTTCTTGAGTTAAGGAAATAGGTTAAATCCAGACTTCGTGAATTCGTCTATTTCCTTAACGTTTTTTTTAAACGTTTTTCTGCTTCATCTTATCGTTTATATCGATTTATGTTTCATGATTTTCAATCAGGATTTTCGCGGTTTTACAATCTTAACTCAATAAATCCGCTTTTTGCTTATCGCTTAAATCGGATTGAATATTACGACCAATATTTATATAAACCGTTTTATAAAATGTTTTCCAAATCAATCTGAAACGAGTTGCGAACGATCTTTAGCTATTCTGCAAAACGTTTTGATCTAAAAAGATGAATCGTATAAGAAAACGATTTACAACGACAGTCTCTCTCCGCGATCTCGTTTTTCTGAATATACAACGATCTTACTTGTAACTAAAAATATCATTTAAGAACGCTTTTAAGGCGAGTTCTGAGATTGATTGTTGAACGTTTAAGAACGCTTATGCGATTTTTGAGAACGTTTATTGTATAGCGAATTAAAATTTTATATCACTTAATGAATTGAGTTTTAAATACTACTACGGTTTGTGAACAAATTCATACTGACTAATGATTTCACTGATCTTTACAAGATAAATGTTGTGAAATATGGATAAATCTCTGAATTTTGAGTTCATAATATCTTTGAATAAATCTTAAAAGATTGAGTTCAGAATATTTTTGAATAGATCTTAAGAGGTTGAGTTCATAATATTTTTGAATAATTCTTAGAAGATTGAGTTCATCATAAATTTTCTAGATAAATCTTATAAGATTGACTCCATAATTTTTGGATAAATCGTATAAGATTAAGTTCGTAATATTTTGGATAAATCTAAGATAAATGATTGAGTCCAAATTATTAGTTTTCAAAAAAGTAGTATGTAAATATATATATATATATATATATATATATATATATATATATATATATATATATATATATATATATATATATATATATATATATATTACAACAATGTCCAAAGATTTACAAAGTATTTATTACGGGTAAATCAATATGTAAGATTGGGTCAATATGGATAATATAAGGACTGGTTCCAAATATTGTTTTTTTTTAAATGTTTATTTTGAACAAATCTAAATCTAGAAGATTTTAGATTGCGTTAAATTATTTTTGAATAAATCTAAAATATTTTAGATTGAGTTCAATTATTTTTGAATAAATCTAAATCTAAGGATTAAAGAACGGTTGAGTTCAAATAAATATAAAAATATTTTGATCAGTGAGACGACAATAGTAATTAAGAGTGGTCATCCATATAGATCGGTTTGTCTATGCCTAGTAAAACAACTATTTTTTGTTTTAGTGTGTTGAATACTTTCATGAAACTTTTGAGTTTCAGTATGAAGAAATCAAGGCTAAGAACAAACTATATATAGTCAATGAGTTGTGGTTCGTCATGCATGAGATAAATACTGCATGTATGACAATTTATTTGCATACTAGGTCGTTAGTTCAAACGGGAAAATTTCCATAAAAATAACTATCTCTCAAAAGAAAAGACTTAGAGTCATATGACTTGATTGTCAGGTAATACAACAATTTGCAGATTGCAAATCATATGATTTTCACAATTGTAAACATAATGTGAAAAGTGATTGAGCAATATTGGTTTACATAACGAAAATGTAAAATCTTAAACTAGTTTAATAAAAACTAACACATAAAGTGTAGTTTTGGGTCAATGTTCCATAT